TCCTGCAAAGCAAAAGGCAGAAATGGACCATGTGGGACTTGTAGAATTCATTTCTTTGCTTGTGTTTGAAGCTAGAGGTGGGTTTGGGGTGAAGTTGGCTGGAGAGGTTAAAGGGGAGGAATTTGGTTCTTTTTTAGAGATAGGAGTAATCCTGAAATTCTTGGAATTTTACTTTCTGTTATCATGGTTGGGATCTCTGAGTATTTGGCAAGAAAGGATCCTTTGGGGCAGACTTCCTTTGGTCTTATGTTGGTGTCAAACGTACTGAGACAGATTCAGACCTGTTTCATTCTTAGGAGTGCTTGTTACTATTTCGTGTTTATTTTTCAGTGCTGACCACCGCCCATCTCTTTCTCTAACACACAGCCAGGGTCCCTTTCTATGTGGTTATTCTCATTGAAACTGAGAGTTTATAATAGAATAAACTTTTGGGCAACTTTTTTGGGCAACCTTAAAATATAGCAAGAACTTTCAAGTCCAGTCAGTGCTTCACAGGTTGTATTATGACCTACCTGGACCCCGTGTGTGAGTGTGTGTGTGTGTGTGTGTGAATGATGTGTGTATGTATATAATTTATATTAAAGTCTATTAGAACCTTTTTTTTTGTTGTTTTGCAAAATTAAAACACTTTGCAAACTTTTAAAGCACTATATCAATAGTAATGAGTGTAATTGATACCATTAGAGTCTGTTTTCCTGCTTCCCAGGACAGCAAACCCAGGACTTCCTGTTTTCTTCAAAGAAAGTCTCCTGTCTCCCTGCCTCTGTTTTGACCTTCTCTGATTCAAGTTTCTTCAATAACCCGTGCTTTTTGCCTTTTCTTTCTTGTGTTTGGAAGATAAAGATGGAAACCCTGTTGATATGCCAACTCTACAGCCCACTAGTCATGAGATCGCAGGGCCTCACTTTCCTCATCTTTAAAGTAGGGTCAAAGTCCTCTGCACGGGGAGAGCTCCCTTGCGTGCTTTTTGCTGCCCCTCATCTCTTCACTGTGCTGGTGACCAGTTCAGAGTCTCTTCTGTTTGCAGGTTCCTCTGAAGTCCTCCCAGTCAGCCAGCTCTTTCCCTTGGTGCTTTGTTCACCCTGTGGTTTTGGTGAGTTTCATCGACTTTCCAGGAAGCCCTGTTCTTGTGTCACCCTCAGGTCCATGTAGCCTTAAAATGGGGAAGCAATGCAGAAGAATTCCCACACAGCATCTGGGGAGGGAGGGTGGACATGTGTTTGTCAGAAGATGCTGAGGGCTTGCCCAGGACTCACAGCCCATCAGATGCCAGCAATGAGAAGAATGGAAAGAAAGCTTATCAAAAAAAACAGGGACAGCGAAGTCCCGCCTCTGAGGGAGGTGGACCAGGCACAGAGCGACCTGCACTAGCCTGGCGCTCGCTGGCGATGGTCCTACGGGGAAGCTGCGCGGGCTGGCCCGCCTCCCTGCTCCCGTCCTGGCTCCCCTTGGGCTGGGAAGCCCTCTGGTTGTGCAGTGACTGTGTCTGCAGCTCAGAAACAGGCCTTGGCAGTTCAGAAACATGCCACTCAGAGAGAAGCCGTGACCTGCGCCCTGGGCTCCAGTCAGGGGCCTGCAGCGTGGGCGGGGGATGGTGTGATGCGGGTCTCTTGTTAGCAGATGCTGAACCTGTTGCCACGGGGTCCTGGGAGTGCATGTTTCCTGCCTGTGGCCTTTCATCCTCTCTGGCCAGACTCAGATGGAAAGCCCAGAGCTCTGTGTGCACTCTCAGCTGGACGGACATGGTGGTGGTGTTTCTGGTGTAAACTGGATACGCATTTCTTGATTTCTGTACAGTGTGAAAGGAGTGCAGATCTCACGAAGCTACTGAAAAGTTATTGCTGAACGATAAGACGCCGGGATTCTTGGCCTCCAGAGGAGACGAATTCAATCCGGTGCCGGAGACGAGGCTGGATTGCTCAGAGCTTTTGTGTAATAAAGTTTTATTAAAGTACAAAGGAGATAGAGGAAGCTTCTGACATAGGTATCAGAAGGGGGTAGAAAGAGTATCCCCCTGCTAGTCTTTAGCTGTATGTTATATAGTCACTCACAGTCTGTTAATGAAAAGAAAGGAATGTCTTAAAATTCAGAATGGCACCAGGCCCCTTATCCATAAGTTGCATTTTGTGATAATTTTGGCACCAGATAATTCATCCCAGGCCATAAAATGATTGACTTGAATCTTGTAGAAGGGCAGATTACCACACAAATAGTTTCGTTTACGTAGATTAGGGGAACAATATCTGAGTATAACATACTGGTTTGTCAAGTAGTTTGAGCCATTTGGAGGAACTTAGAGTCTGGGGTAAATGCTTAGCACATTAACATAGCTTTAAGACAAACATTTCCATAAGAAAAATGTATTGGTTAACTCAAGGTTTGAGAATAGTTTGCTTCAGGTGAAACCAGGTGTCATGGCAACACAGCATTTTAAGAGAAACCTCCTTTTAAATTTGTATAGAGAAGGAAAAAAAATACTGCTAGTTTGTTTCCTCCTGCTGCTTAAGAGATAAAAATGTCTGACACTTGCAGCCTATTTCCTCCCTTTGGAGACCCCTGGCCTTCCTGCCTGTTACCCTCTCACTGCCCCCTCGAAATCAGAGTGTCTTCATTCAGCCAACACGTGGCAAAGAGAGGCAGGCAGAGCACAGGGTCCAGGCTGGAGGGTCAGGCACTCTGTTTCCTCAGCTGTGAGAGCTGGTATCTTACCACTAATTGAGAAACTATCTATCATAGTACTTGGGAACATCTTGGGCCTTCCCAGGTGGCTTAGTGGTAAAGACCCCACCTGCCAAGGCAGGAGATGTGGGTTCAGTCCCTGGGCCAGGGAGATCCCCTGGATAAGGAAATGGCAACTCACTCCAGTGTTCTTGCCTGGGAAATCCCATGGACAGAGGAGCCTGGCACGCTGCAAGTTCATGGGGTAGCAAAAGAGTCAGACATGATGTAGCGATTAAACACCCTCACTGCCTTCTCCTGCCACAAGAGTGAAGGCCAGCCCCTCCCCAAAGGCTTCCCTGCTGGCTCCCTGCAATGCAGGAGACCCGCGTTCAGTCCCTGCATTGGGAAGATCCCCTGGAGGAGGGCCTCCCCGTGGGTCGGCCACCCAGCCCACTCCCAGTATCCTGGGACATCCCTTGGACAGAGGAGCCTTGCAGGCTGCAGTCCGTGGGGTCACAGAGGCAGACACGACAGTGACTCCCCAGCAGACGGTGACCCTTTGCAGGTGTTCATGTCCCTCACAAAGGGACCGGGGACGTCCAGCCAGTGTCTCCCTGCGGTCCTGTGCTCTCTGCAAGGTGGGGAGGGAGGAGGTGGGCACCCCCTCCCGTCCTTGAATCTGTAACACAGCCTGCTGTCCACTTTGTACCGGAAGAGGTAGCGCTCAGCGTGCGGCTGTCGGGGACCAGGTCCTCTTTTCAGACGCAGAGTTTAATGTTGCTCCCATTTGGATGTCCCAGGAGTTGTAAGTCAGTGGCGAGTCCCCAGCTGTGGGTGGCAGCAGGTTTAGGTGCAGCATCATCAGAGCCATGCGACAGGGAGGGGGAGCCTCTGCCCCCAGGGCTGGTGCCTGTGCCCCTGCGGGTGGAGGGGCGCTGCTGGGCCCGTGGAGCCTCAGCGCCAGCCCTCTGCCTGCCGGTGAGGAGGGGAGATGCGGTGTCAGCCCTGCACCCAAAGTTTCATTGGCGCATTTTCCACAGTGGCCCCTGTGAGTCAGGAGGAGTCTGCCAGGCAGTAAGTAACGGCAGCCGTCTTGGGGAGACGCGGGCCTCTGTTTGCAGAGGAGAGAACGAGGTCCCGAGCCCCTCACAGAAGAGCAGCAAGTTATGAGATCCTCGGGGGTCCCAGCTCCCCAGTCCGCACCCCACGCCCTGCTCCCTGCCTGCGGGTTGGCACTTGGGAGCATCTGCCTTCTGAACATACACCATTTGGGCTGTTGTTCTGGCCTCAGCCTTCTTTTTGCTTAGAGGAGATGGAAAACTTGATTTTCCGTACAGGGATGTATTACCAAATGTTGCACCAACTGTCTCTTCCTCAGGTTGAGCGTTCACTGTTTCTTTGTTGTAAAAAGGACTCCTTTTCCTGTTCAATTTTCTGTACTGAGTCAGGAGGAGTCTACCAGGCAGTAAGTAACGGCAGCCTTCTTGGGGAGACGTGGGAGACGTAGTTCCTTCCCTACTCCCCACCCTCCATGGACTAAGTTGCTTCAATCGTGTCCGACTCTGTGCGACCCTATGGACTGTAGCCTGCCAGGCTCCTCTGTCCATGGGATACTCCAGGCAGGAATACTGGAGTGGGTTTCATGCCCTTGTCCAGGGGATCTTTCCACCCCAGGGATTGAACCCACATCTCTTAGATCTCCTGCATTTGGCAGCTGGGTTCTTCACCACTAGCAGCACCTGGGACTGTCCCCCCGCCCCACATCCTCACCCTAAACTAAACCCACTCTGCCTGTTTCCTTAATGCATGTTTGGCTTTGGTTCCTTTCCTGCTCACTTTTCCTTCTTTATCAGTGTTCTCTTGGTGGCCGCGTGGGTGCTCTCTAGTTGCAGTGTGTGGGCCTCGCACTGCAGAGTATCCTCTTCTGAGGAGCACAGGCTCTAGGCTCCATGCGCTTCAGTAGTGGCGGCGCCTGGGCTTAGCTGCTCTGCGGCCTATGGAATCTTACTGCAGCAGGGATCAAACCTGTGTCCCCTTCATTGGCAGGAGGCTTCTCATCCACTGGACCACCGGGGAAGTCCTCACTTTTCCTTTTTATGATGGTGTCTCTTCTTTCAAGAGTTGTTCCCCAACTGAGCCCAAGCTGCTGTCATGTCGAGCGCTGGCCAGAAAGCTCACAATAGTCAGCTTTACCGCAGACTTGGATGCTTGGTTTCGGTGCTGGCCTTACTCCTGTCTCGGTGCTTGGTGACTTAGCAAACACGTGCAAGCCTGAGGCCGGCGGGGAGGGGAGGCGTGCGGCGGGAAGGGTCCGCACACCGGCACTCACCCTGACTTGAAACGCTCTGTTCTTGCTCCTTAGGTACCCAGATAAGCTGCTTCTCCCCCAGCTCTTTCTCATGGCGTCAGGCTTCCTTTGTGGATTCTTACTGCTGGGCGGCCGTCCAGCAGAAGGACTCCTTGCAAGGCGATTCTGGAAACCTTCCGTTGTGTCTGCATAAGGTAATGGGGGATATTGTAGATCTCACCTCTTTGCTTTGCCAGCGTGGGAACTGAGGTCCGGAGCGGATGCACCAGTCCACAGCCGCCTGTGGCCAACCAGGGCTGTAACTCAGATCGTAAAGACATAGCATGTTAAAATTGGAAGGAACCTCCAAAATGACTAGATCCAGCACCTTCCTTTAGCAGATGGGAAACTGAAGCCCTCTGATTTTAGCTCTGTAACGGCTGGCACCTCATGTGTCTCAGTCACCTTTCTACCCTTAATGCCCAGGGATGTCTGAACCATAGGAGGCTCTCAGGCCATTTTTTATGCCTCAAGGAGCTTTGTTAGAGAACAGCAGAGCTGGGACTCAGAGCTTCCACCAGCTCCTATTCCACCCCATGCAGGACCTCTTGGAAAAAGTAAGGACCAGCCTAGAGGTCAGTAGCTTCCAGCCTGTGTGTTACTCCACCACCAAGAAGCCCAGGAAAAAATTCATCTGGGGGTGTTGGTTGCAGCACAGCTTTTGGCAGACACGCTTTTGCTTTCTGATGGGTCCACATGCTGCAGGGAAGGGAAGATTGCTGCCTGGGAGATAGCAGTGTCCTGCAGAGAAGAGGAGCAGGCCAGGAGCTCTGTGGCCAGGGGAGCGTGGGGGCAGGGCACACAGCGGCTTCGCAGTGTAGGGCTTGGGCCAGAGCCCCCAGGTTTGCGCAGGAGAATGTTCTCTGCATAATGAAATGGCTCCACTGGGTCTTCTCTGTGCTTGTGAAAGTGGGACTTTGTTTCAGCTTGTCATTATTTTCAACCACTGGTCTTTTTGTCCATCATGAAAACAAGTAGAATGTTTGTGTATCTTGGGATTTCTCATCCACCAAGGAAAGCATGGTATGTTAGCTTCTAAAAAGCCAGAGGCCAACATTTGAGGCTCTCTTGTCTTGAGCACATAGCATCCTTCTTTTTTAAAAAAGAACAATGTAAATCATTTGCTGTGACTCAGACTTGTCTGTGTATCACGTGCCATTTGGCACAATGATGCTCTCCACTGACTCCTTTCTTCTTCGGGGTTGGGCTTTTCTCTCTGACTTCTGCCTTGGCGTTGATTGCGTCCTCATCAACTTTGCATGACTTAGTAGCCAGGGCAGCAGATAATAAGGATTTTCTGTGTGAATGGGCACAGTTCTAGAAACTGAATGTCTTTGTTTGCACATCTAAATGTATGCTGTTGTAGTCTGGTGGTGGTTTAGTTGCCATGTCGTGTCTGACTCTCGTGACCCTGTGAACTGTAGCCCACCAGCTTCTTCTATCCATGGGATTTCCCAGGCAAGAATACTGGAGTGGTTGCCATTTCTTTCTCCAGGATTATCTTCCTGACCCAGGGATCGAATCCACATCTCCTGCATTGGCAGGCAGATTCTTTACCACTGAGTCACCAGGGATGCTCTCTTGTGGTAGTTTTAAGTCCATTTATTTTAATGGTCTTCTGAGAATGGAAAGTTGTGATCAGTGGCTGGGTTAGGCACTGATGGATCCACAGAAGAAGAATGTATATTCTGGGATTGTCCAGTGTAGGAGGTGGCAGGGATGTTAGAGATTGCGAAACTTCTAGAGCAGGAAGATGATCAAAGATTCTGATCCAGAAGCATTTTACATGTGAGGATAAGGGCATCTTGGGAGGTCACGCCCAGGAGTCACAAAACTAGTTGCTGGCTATAAGGTGAAAATCAGGTCTCTAGGCTCCTTTTGCTTCTGCAGGGTTGGGGAAGTCTTATAGAACAGTGTGGGTAGCCAAGCCCTAAGTTTTTGATGTTAGTGAAAGATGGAGCTCTTTTTCTGGTGATGGTAGCCTGGCTTGTTTTGGTAGAAGTTTGGCTGAAACTCTGAGCAGAGGTCTTTCCAGATTCACAGGACTGGAGACAAAAAATTGAACGGGCCAAGCTGGAAGGACCCTGGTCAACGCCCTAGGCTTGAAAGGCCACTGCTGAGGAGTGAGGGATAATGCAGAGTTCAGCCAGCCCTCATCGGGTCTAAAGCCTTGGTTCGAAGCATTTTAGCACCAGTTAAATGAAGGGAATTTGGGATTGTCAGTGTCTCTGGTCTACTGCCAGCCAGAAGCAAAATTACGGTAGTCCTCACTGGAGGAAGTCACTTCGTCCAGAGCCTCAGACCCTTGCTCCGGTTTTTCACATGTGGTGTTCAGCACTCAATCAGAAATAACTGGAGTACAGGTGCCATTCCAGAACTGGAAAGAGACCTTTAGCCCGTGAGAGCGCCCTCAGCCCATTGCCGTTGGGCCTGCCCAGTGTCCCCAAGCTGCACCAGCCCCCTTCTTTTGGTGAGTGGAGGAGCCCCTTCTCCTGACCAAAGCCAGGCCCCCGTGTGACCCACCTGTGTTCTGGATCCCCCTCCCAGGTTATAGGGACACCCCTCCCCATCTTTCTCATCTGCATCCTCAGCCCTTCCCTTGCCAAGGGCTCTCTTCCCAGTGACGTTTTCGCGAGTCCGCCTCTGCAGTGCGTGGTCTTGCTGAGGTCACCTCCGCCCTCCTTGTTGCTCAGTTACTCCTCTCTCCGGGGCATGTGCTGCTTGGCTTCTCGAGTGTCCAGTCCTGCAGGCCGCACCCTCCTGCAGGTGCTGTCTTGTCTCTTGCGGCAGTGTTGCCCTTCGCCCATCCCTGAGAAGCTGGGGTTCTCTCCCAGGGCACCTCCTTGGCACCCCTCCCGGAACCATCCCAGGTCCTGGTTCCTCTTTCCTGCTGTGGACCATTGACACCCACGTCTTCACCCCCAGCCTGGCCCTCTCTCCTGAGCTCCAGATCCGCATGACCCGCTGAACCCCCAAGCTTGGACCCCTGGAGGTCTGGCTCGCGCCTCCAGCACAGCTTCAGAGCTGACCTTCTGCCCCCTTCCTGTCCGCAGTGTGACCTCTAGCTCGGTTCATGACACCAGCCACCCTGTTAGATCAGCCACAGATCCGAGGGCCACTGCAACTCTGTCTCCCTCCCCGCATCCTGTTCGTCATTGAGCCCCATCAGGTCTGTTTCCTTAGGCAGCTCTGAGCCCTTTGCCCCTTGGTCTGGCCCCCGGGACTGCCTGTCATCTCGGCCGAGTTCCACATGATCACAGGGGCACTTTTTGGCATGACTGTCGTTTTCCTGGCTTCCCTGATAGCTCAGTTGGTTAAGAATCTGATGCAGGAGACCCTGGTTCAATTCGTAGGTCTGGAAGATCCACTGGAGAAGGGATAGGCTACCCACTCCAGTATTCTTGGGCTTCCCTTGTGGCTCAGCTGGTGAAGAATCCACCTGCAATGCGGGAGACCTGGGTTGGGAAGATACCCTGGAGAAAGGAAAGGCTTCCCACTCATTTCCCTAGACAAACACCTCCAGTGTCCTTATGAAATGTCTCTATTTCTTAAAAAAAACAAAAACCAAAACCTATTTTGGCTAACAAGTTCACTCTCCTTTCTGGCCCTGTGAACCATTGCCCCAGCCTCACCTCCGCACCTAGCCTCACCCCCTCTACACCCAGGGGCTCTGACTTCCTGCAGGTCTCATGTTCTTGGCTGTTTCACTCACATTCTACTTTGAAGAGCCTTACCAGCCCCGAATCCGGGGAACTCCTAATTTGGTTTCTAGTCTCGGCTTAAATGTCGTTTCCACCTAAAAGCTTCCCCTGAACCCTAGACTGAGGTTGTTGCCAGTTCAAAGTGCTTCAAGGGCCAGGTGGGTGAATGTGAAGCTTCCAGGAATAAGACTGTGGGCCGGCTGGGTAGACAGTAGACCACATGCCCTGCCTCAGACATTCAGATCCTAGAAATGGGGCAGCAGCTGAGCAGACTATCATCTGTACCCTTCCCTGGTCTGTGTTGCTTGGTTGTGTATTCCCAGAGCAACCTGCCCTTGTCCTGGAATCACCCTGGGATACGGTCATTACTTGCCTTGTGTGCTAAGTTGCTTTAGTCATGTCCAACTCTTTGTGACCCCATGGACTGTATCCCACCAGGCCCCTCTGTCCATGGGATTCTCCAGGCAAGAACACTGGAGTGGGTTGTCATGCCCTCCTCCAGGGGATCTTCCCAACCCAGGGATGAAACCCATGTCTCCTGCATGGGCAGGTGGGTTCTTTACCACTAGTGCCACCTGGCATTTGCCTTAATTCTTCTCAATTCTTTATTTCCAAGACTCTTTAAGTTCCATGAAGGCAGAGACCATGACGTGTCTTGTTCATCCCTGTGCCCAAGGACTATGCACCGTCCATAGTGGATGCTCGGATCACATGTGTGGACAGGAGGTGAGGAACGAGGTGGCTGCAAGTCCTGATCAGAAGCAGACTTGGTCCTCCTCCAGAGCCTTCTGACTTGTGCTCACGATGAGGGGGTTAGAGGCACAGGGTTTATGTGAACACTTCTCAACTCAGTTCTGATGTCAGAGCTAAAACCAGAAGACCCAGGGACTTCCCTGGTGGTTCAGCGTTTGAGAATCTGCCTTGCAATGCAGAGGACGCAGGTTCAATCCCTGGTCGGGGAACTAAAATTCCCTATGTCATGGGACAACTAAGCCCATGCACCACCATGAAAGGTCCCACATGACCAACTAAGACCTGACGCAGCCAAAAAAAAAAAAAGCAGACCCAGAATCGCCCTGAAGAAGTCACTCAGTGGAGCACTGGCGTGGGCGAGGGCGTGACTGACGGTGGTGTGATTCCTGCTGGAGCGCCTCTGCACCTGCTTTTTCATGTCGCCGGCCCTTTTCCTCCTCCCTCTCTCTCCCGCGCCTTATTTCTGGTGACTCGTACCTGAGTTTCTCTGGTGGAAATGTGGGTGCATTCAAATGACCAGCAGCTGGCACTCCAGGACTGTTTGATAACTGGTCTTTTTTTGAGTGTACTCTTCTCTTTGTTCAAGTTCATAAAGTAGGCAACCGTTAGGCACGATTTCTTTCTGAAACAGAAAAGCCAGTTTTTGACTGAAAAACAGACAAAAAGAAGAAACTTAACGGAGTTGTCAGATCTTGCTATGT